AGACTCGTGTAACACGTGCAATTTTCTGTGCTTGATTTTGACATTGATGAAAATAATAAAATAACTAAGCACAACAAGAATGGTCGATGATACATTTTTTAAATATTAGCTAAGTTTATTAAAACAAAAAAACAATCCAACAGTCGTAAGTTAGGCAAAAACTTCACCCTTCCTCTCTAACATCGCAAAAATTAAAATATATATTTTTTTTTGTAAAACTACTGCACGCTATAATTGTTTTAAAAATGCAAAAATAATTTCCAAATTCTTATAAAATACTCTTTAGATTTAGTATTATAAATATACGTTGCAAAAAAATGTTTAGGTGTAGTCTTAGAATTTATGGTCTAAAATTTAATCTAGAGTGGACCTATAAGTTATAACATGACGATGTGATGGCTGATAAGATATGGGTTTTGCATCGAGTTAAAAAATGAATACGAATTAAATTAATATGTTATAAGAGATCAGAAAATATCAACACGATAATAAAAAAATGGATTAACTAGAATACAAGACAAGGTAAAAAAAACAATTTTTAAGCATTATTATTGGATTTTATGCAAAATTTGTAGCAATGTGGTACTATCATGCAAACTAATTTAAACGTTCAAAAACATTAAAAATGAAACAATATATGGCCACAAAACAACTTGTTTTCCGTAAAAAAAAAAAAAATAGTAAAACTGTGAAAACTGTATTTGTAAAATAACTACTTTAATAAATATGTGATGTGACAGTTATTTTTCTACATTATTAAACGATCCAAAACGTAGCGTTGGCTTTAGTATAATAGGTACAGAAAATTTAACTAGAATTAAAAATGTTTTAAATAAAGAAAAACAAGACACCTTCTAGGAATCATAATAAACTAATGTTAGTAATATTAACAATAAATGTATATACCTACTTAAATATTATGTATTAGGTAGGTAACACTTAGTTGTAACAGCTTTGTCGAACATTTCCGTTCATTTTGACTTTCTTTAATTAAAATGTATTCTCTGGTTAGTAGTAAAAAAGGGATTGTAATATTAGGTACCTAATAATATTTTATCTTAATGTACAAAATAATTATTCGCTATAATTATTGGAACATCGGGGCTCTACGGCCATGCAAGAAATTAGTTCAAACATTTGAATAGGTTTACCTACACAAATGACAAAACCAAATAAGTTTTATAAAAACTTGTTTTTGATAAACAACAAACCGTAAAATTGCAAAAGGTATTGATTGTAAATTTAGCGTGTACGCAGTAACCACCACAGAAACGTTAATCATAAATAATGCAATAAAGCAATGAAGGTACCTTAAAAAAACAAACAACATATTAAAACATAAAAGTATATGATACCCACAGGTGTGTGTAATTCTTAACTCTGCAACTGTCATTATGGAAAACATGTTTTCAATAAATAAAAAAACAATAATAAAAACTATACAAAAATTGTGAGAAAACACTTTATATAATGTAATAAAATGTATTGTTATTCATTAGCTTTTATGAAAAAACAGAATATTAAACTCAAATTGAAAGAATCCAAATGTTTATTTATAACATGAACAAATAAGTCGCTATGACGCATATTCGCTAGTATTGTAAACATAATATGTACTTTTTGCACCTCGTCTCAGTGTGGATAAATAATGTTATTACATTTTTGTAATATTACATGTTATATACTAAGCGTGCAGATTATGGTTTGGTGCGTAACATTTTATAAAACATATTATATAATATTATGATAAAATTTCTGAAACTTGGCCCTTTTTCATGGTTAGGTTTTTGTTGGGTATTATTATTACTATTGTTTATTAAAACTCCTAGAAGGAGTTCTTTATTTCTTATTTTTCTTTATTTCAATTTGTTATGCGTAGTACAGGACTAAAATCTGAAAATAAATACTAAAAGAACATCTGTGATCTGCAGTGACCCAATTATAATAACAAGCTCCTCGGAAATCGTAAACAATTTTTGAACAACTATGGATCATAAAAAAAATAATAATGAACAAAAAACCATAGAATATTTTACTCAGGGCCGGAATTAGGGGAGGGTGTGGGGGGGTTTGACACCCCCCACTCGGAAAACTCAAGTATACACAGTCGGCACATTTAGATTGAACAAAAAGTCGGTAAATATTATGACCCTCATACAATTATACAAATAGCATATTTATTATTTTTATTTTATAAAAGTAGGTAGGTACATATTTTGTATCGCAATCTGGCGACTGAATAGTGAATAGTCGGCATACGGACGACCATACGAAAATATAATTTTTGTTTTTAGTATAAAAAAAAACAATGCATTTTGGGTTATCCCCGATTTTAGCAGGAGTATTATTATTGTTTGCTTATAATAACTGTGGTGTATATATCAAACGATGTTCGGCCGTGGGTCCTATTGGTCTATTGTAAGCAAACATTCTATCCCTCTATAAGTATAAATCCCTCATAAGATAAAATTTCTATGCTCCGAAAAACGTTTTAAAAAACAAAACAATTATCACAATTTATAACAATATCACATCGTTATCATTTTTCTTCTTCTTCGTTTTCTTTTAAAAATAATAAAAAATCACCTGCGTACAACTATGACGGCGAATAGACTAGACGACCTCACATTTTAAACTCCACTCATTTAAACTCGAGATCGATATAATTGATTTAGAAGAAATATTAAAGAAATAGTCCGCATTAAAAAAACGCAGTATTAATGTTTAACTTTTGTTGGTTTTTTTACTTGTACTATCTAAGTTTGTTTGTAATAATTAATAAAGTTTAAAAAATAATAACCAAACAATATTAATTACTTTTATTGTTTTTTTTTCAACAATTAATAATTCCCATTAATTTTAGTAAAAAAGTTGTGACTTGTGATGTAAAATATAATAATATATTTACGAAAGTACCTAAATATTTTAGTCAGCAATTACAAAGTCGGCATCTTCATTTTGACACCCCCCTTGCATATTTCTTAGCGCCGGCGCTGATTTTACTTTAAAACGCATTATTATACCTTATAAACTAAGCGATAAGCTAGTATGAAAAAAAAACAAAATGTGTTAGAATCATAGATCATATTGCAAAATAATAATAGATAATAATACCTATTACAAAATCAAATGTTATTACTATAAATAATTTATAATACATTTAGATATTAAGTCTATGGTTCTTCGTTACAGAATAAATATAACGCAATTTATAAATAATTTAGGCGAATGATACTATTAAAAAGATAAGAATTGATACGAGTCTGCAAAATTGAGCGTTTACTCGCTCCACTTTAATTTTAGAGCAAAAATACCTATAACAAAATCAAAATGGTACATTCTTTTTTAATAAATCTAATGTTTTGCTAGATATTTATTATTTAAAAATACATTTGTTTACTTTTTTAAAATAGATAACATTTTTCCACGTTGTTATTTTCAAAATCGGATATACATAACATTGTCTTCAAAATGTTGTTATCATTCGATTATAAAATAGGTATTTTTGCTTTAAAACAACCATGGTCTTAGTAAAACGCATTGTGCGTTTAATTAATTAATTACAAATATTTAAAGTCACTGACTGAATTTTAACTAGGCGTAATTATAAGCCTGACAACACAATTTTAAAGTTATTAAGAGGGCGTCGCAACGCCCATTTTTAAGGAGTAAAGTATAGGCAATTTTACACAGAATCTTAATTTAAAGGTTAAACTGTGATGTGTATCTATTAGTTCAATAACTAGGACTCTATTTTGGTATTTAATTAATTTTTTGGCCTACCACAGCATCCTTGAAAGCGATTTAAAAAAGTTTTTTCATCTCTATGTTTAAGCACTGCGAATTTTTTTTCTTATTTCAATATTACATGCGTTTTTTTTCATTATTCCAAGTTTAATTCTCAATACGTAGTTTAGAAATAACGACTATTTTAACATTTTTAAATGACTGTAACTTTTCAAAAAATGAATTTTTTTTTTAATAACCGCACCGTTTTGCCCTCAGGAATATTGTTCTCTTTTAATATTATAATGGGTGCTTTTACTCTAAAACCAAAATGAAGCGAGTTATTTTCAGGTGGCGTAAACATGTTTTTACCACTGGAAATCACCGGTGCGACGCCCGCTTAAAGGGAAAAACTTAAGACAGGGTGGAGTGCGGTAGAGTAAGCGCGCAGGGTTATTTTATCTGCGCGCATTACACCCGCACCTCACCTTGCAAACCGTCGGCCGTCCGCTCTCAATCCCCTTAGCTATTGATTAACTATACAGTTATATATGGCTTACCTATAGCTATGTATTCGTTTAGCGCTCAGAGCTAAAGCGGTGAACTCTGTGAACGTTTTTGCCGCATTGCGGATACGTTGCCATGACGATTGACGAGAGATGAGTTAAGGTTGACCTACTTTACAGGATCCCGTGTTAGATTGACCTCACTCCAGTGCTACCAACTGTGTCGGTTCAACAAAGAGAACAAACACAAAAAAACCGTACCAGCGACGCTAATAATTATGGTAGCTCTTTAAAACAATTATCATCATACCTACGCGTTAAAAAAAACCTATAGTAAAGTAAATCGAATCACAGCCCTCAATACCTCCTGTACTATTTAGAAGGTAAATAGAAATCTGTCGGGTTGTCGCTGTTAACTTTCTTTAGTTTTACGGCAATACAATTGCAAAAGTCAAGACTCTTCTAGGGTTTACGGCGACCAGTTTAGGCTACCCTTAGATTTGTAACTATGCGTATCCCTTAGAACGTTTACCAACAATTAAGTACAAACAATACAATGCAAATGATCTAAAGCCTTACCTACTGTGCGAAAATAAAACTTCACATATTTTGTTCAAATTCGTATTTCATCAGTTACGGTTTACGCAGGATATGTTACGCCGCGACTTTTGGTACAACTGTTTTATTGATTGATAACCCATCCGTTGTTACTACCGTGCCACTGCCATTACTTATTACTGCGCCATTGCCATTGCTTGTTGCTACCCTATCGCGTTAAGTCGTTTGTGTCAACGTCGGCTCGGGGAAGTATTGACAGCAGTGAAAAAAGCCACGGTCGTCGTTATTACTACAACAGAACGGATAACCCGCTTTTCTAATCGGTGAGTAGAACGAAATAAACATTAGTGTTATTTTTTGTGTTTTGATCATGCCCAAATTAATCGCAACCTATAGGTATTATATATTATAATATAACATTGCAATATTTCGCAGGCTAAAAAAGAAAAGATTCTATGTTCAGTTTTTTTTTCTTACTAAGATATATTTATTTTTAATTACATATCTTTAGATCCAACAACGGTGTACCAACTTTAATTAGCTAGGTAGCTACACAAAATATGTTATATTAATAATATATGGTGCCGATGGTACAATAAAAATAATTTCCTTTGTATCATATTTTTTTTAGCTATTACTTTTTTGTCAACGATAAAATAGAAAATAACGAATTTTTTAAAAAAAAAAGTATAATATGATGTGTAATTTTAAAAATGCCTTACTGAACAATTACAAAAATGTTATATACCTAAGCCTTTTAATTATCAGTCCTCAATTACTGGTCCACTAATATATTTTGCCCGTGTTCAATAATTTGTTCTTATCGATTTACTAAAATATACAGTCTTAACCGTTGTTGGTATCGGAGTTAGCGTTTTGCTAACATTAAACTTATACTAGGAACCACTTAATAATAGATTAAGTTCATATAATAATAGATTGTTTTAAAACTATATTTACTTATTTTCAATATAATATTAAATAAAAATAACAAAAAAATAAAAATGTTAACATCTATTTGTGGGTATAATGACCGGTCAAAGTCTGCAGTACCGCATCATGTTGTAAGGGACCTACTTGTCTAGCTGGCTAGACTAGGCAAAGTGGCTGTCGATAAGGCTAAAAGAGACGGATTTCCACGGGAAAACGGTTGGCTAGGCCGCTGTCTACGTCTAATTGGCCTTTAAGTCTCCCTTATTAACTTAATATATCGCCCGAGGAGCTAGAACGGGCGGTCACGCTATTAAGTAATCTAACTCTCAGCTGCAGGCTACAAGATGTTTTATTCTAAATTAGGGTTGCTAAATAAAATACAAAATTATACAATATATATATATATATATATATATATATATATACACTCTGACCTGGGTTGGACGATGAAATGGTTGGTCAAAGCGGAGTTAAAACGGACGCACACAAAAGATAGTTGGATGGGGGGCTTGTAGTAAACGGCAAAAATATAGAGCGTAAGGTCAAGGATATTGGCGGTCCGTGATGGTAAAATCAACTGCCTAATTAGATGATATGTGACGTGCATTGTCCTGTGTGTGCGACCGTTCCCCTACCTATAGTCGGGGGTGTTGTGTCAGCAGGTTTGGGACGAGGAGTAACGGTCAGGTGAAATATGATTGTTACAATGTTAACGTCGCGCTTGTACGAAACTAACTGTGTTGTACGTATAAATATATATAAAACATACATTTTTTATATTTTTTTATAAAATGGACAAAAAATGCTGCTAACAAGTGTCAATTTTTGTTATATAAAACTTTATTTTAACAGTTATAAGAAATAATAATAATATAATATAAGTACTATAGTTTGTTTAATTTTTATAAAATATATTTGTTTTTACTGACAAAAATGTATTAAAATTTTTTTAGTAGAAAGTTTTAATGAAAAAGACTAAAAGTAATCTAACTTTTGTAGGATATAACTAGATAAACACTTTTACCTTTATTGCGCTACTTTAAATTCATTAAAACACTTACAGGAACAAAAAAAAAACTATGTTAGGATGACACTAAAACGATAGTAATCATGTTACAAATCATAGCAATACCTACGACGGGTTAAATTGATTCTAAAATTGTTACACAATGGAAAATAATGAATAAATGGTTTTAACAGCTAAATGGAATCATCAACGATGTACAATCCTGAACCACAAAAATGCTCTTGCTGTGGTCCAGTGGCCAAAAATATTCCTGTGATGCTCATAATATTTTTACTGGCATGGTCATATTTAACATTCGTTTATTATATGTGCCTCGGTAAGCATTTGAAATATTTATATCTGGTAAATTGTATGTTTGTCGCCAATTTTAACATTTGATTTATTTTTAGATGACATCATTTCCCTGGAACTTAGAGTGCCGTCCCTGGTGTTGTACCATATTATACTTGTGCTTTTTCTTTGGTCTTACTACAAAGCAGTAACCGCGAAATGTTACGGTGCACCTGAAAATGTTTGTTCCACTGTCTGTCACTATTTAAATTTATGTTTAATTAATATATCTATCATATTAATAGTTCAAACTCCCGGATGATGTTTTTGAAGAGTTTAATAGGCGTCCATTTGATTTTGCCAAACAAAACACTATCTTGCGTGAAATTTCGTACGATCTGCCAATTGCGACATTCACAACTATGGAAGGTAATTGTCATAATGTTTGTACATTGAACGAAAATAATGTAGAAAATTACTTTTCAGAAATCAGATACTGCGATAGATGTAAAATAGTCAAGCCTGATCGCGCCCACCATTGTACTGTGTGTGATAAGTGCGTATTAAAAATGGATCATCACTGCCCGTGGATTAACAATTGCGTATCATTTTCAAACTACAAATATTTCATATTACTCCTGGTGTACGGAACTGCCATGTGCCTTTTAATTGCATACACTACAATGGTTTATGTATTTAGATATTGGGAGGCTTCATCCGACATGGTGAGAGAACACTAATATTCTAACGTAGTATTTCTACGCCCGTGTTAAAATTCTATAAACAATTTGCGTGTTAATTATTTTTCAGGAATTAAAAGTACACCCGTATGCACTTCATATAGTATTTTTATTTTTCTTCGCATTAATTTTTGCTATCAGCCTATTCTCACTGTTCACTTATCACGTTTACTTGATGTCTAAAAATTGTACCACCGTTGGTAAATCAATATAATTTTTTTTATTAATTATTATTATTAATTGTTGTTTATTGCTTGTACGGTTCCCAGAAGCTGTCCGCCCACCGATATTCACTGAACATAACAATAAAAATGGATTCAATTTGGGTTGTTCCAAAAACATACAAGAAGTGTTTGGTCAAAAAAAGAAATGTTGGCCTTTTCCTACAGAAACAAGGTGAGATATCAGTTATTTAATCATTCAGCTATTTAAATTTACCTAAATGCATAATGTACTATTTTTTTAAAACAAAATCAGACAAAATTCATTTAAAAAAAAAATATTTAAGGTTGTATTGCAAAAAAAAATGTTTAAATTATTTATTTAAAATATATAAGCATTATTTAGGTATATGAATTTATTCTGGTAACAACAGAACGGATTTCTATGTATTGTAAGGTGTTTAATTGAATTAATTTTTATTTATTTGAATACTTACATAATAATTTTTTAAAAAATATAATATATATAAGCAAGTATTTAATTTAGAATTATATTGAAGTATTAAATACATTTGATATTTTCTTAAAACTAATATATTTGCCTACGGTAAAAAATAGGATCTAATAATTTTTTCATTGGTGTCACTACTTTTATTATATTTAGATAAATATTTGTACAATATTTAGTTATCCAAATCTTTTTGCACCAAGCAGCAACTGCTACCCAAAGGGAAAAAAAATATTTTGAAATAACTATTACTGTAACAGTATGTTTAATATTTGTAAATAATTTTTTAATAGGAAATTAAAAATATTACTAGCACAAATGCTTTATTTAAGAATTATTATTATAAAGTTTTAAGCGTGTACCGTTAAGTTATTAAAAAATAATTCAAAACTTTATCTATTGAATATCACTATTAATAATTTAATACTTTAATGAATGTAACGATTTTCTTAAAAAACTAGTTTTTCTAAATACTTAAAGAGGAACTTTTGAATAAATTCTGTAATTGTGGTTAAATATTATAACCTTTTAGTACTTAGATGCACATTTCAAATACAATTAAAAATTCTTATCAGTATTTATTCTTATCTATACTTGAGTTTTTAAAAAAAATTATTTCTTACAATTCTGAGTACAACTATAAAAACAAAATATTTTATTTATCATAATATACAATAGTATTATATAAAAAAAAACTAAATATGTATGTTTGTCAAAGTTATTAAAGAAACAAAATATATCAACTAGACTGCGGCTAAAAAAAACATTTTTATTTCACAATGAACATTTTTCTTATCAGGTTACAGCCTATTGAACCCTATCAAACTGATTAGATTAAAAAAAAGTTATCACGAAGTATTAAAAGAAGTATTTTAGAGTGTCATATTTCAGCTAAAGTTTGATTAGTTTAATAAAAAATGTCCAATGTTAATCAAATGCAAAAAAAAATAGTGAAGAAGTGCTTACAGCTTAGTTAGGTATCTGAAATTTTGTAGCTTTCTTATTTGAGTAGGCTACTATCGATTGAAGAAGGATAAGCTATAGGTAAAAAAAAAATTAAAAAACATTCTACAAGTAAAAGGTTATTTGTCGTAAGCGACATAGGCTGTTAAGGGCTACCACCATTATCATTCATTAATTCATAGTTTATAAATATCTAAGATAATTATTTTATTTGCGAATAACAATGATTTATTAATTTATTTAAATTTGACAAAAACTGTCTGAAAATTAGGGAAAGTCGTTTACTGCAAACCACTTGTTTTGTGTGAATTTTTTTTTTGTAATGTCCCAACTATGTTGTCTGTTTTATGATTTATTTTGTTTCAGCTTGGGGAATGGAGTGAATTTTCCATTGGTAGGTAAACCAAGGTCCAACGAGAGAATTGTGCTAACGCCTTACAAGGCCAGGGATCAATTTTCTGTTTAATAACTCTATGTACTTCAAATGGTTATAGTGCATAGTTTGCTTTTTACTATTCATTTACAATTTAGATGTCCCTAGTTTGTGTGTTGTGTTCATGATCTTAAAATTGTACTCGAACAATTTAACTATAGATTTACAATTAGGAAAATTTCAGAAGTGTTTGTTGTTTTCATGATTTCACAAATTTACTGCAACAAGTTTACTTAACTTTTAAGCATATTCAAATTGTAAAACTAATTCATTAAGGTGTGCTGGGTGAAATATTTGATGTTTTGCTTTTGACAATTAGTATATACTTCATTGAAGTTTTTTTTTACATTTTTATTTCTATTACGGGACAGTTAATCGCCAAATATTATGATAACTTATCTCCATAACTTGTTTCCCTTTAATAATAATTTTTTTTATTAAACGTTTTTTAAATATATTCGATAAATTTTCCGTTCTTAAGAAATAAATTAAAAACCCCATTTTTTACATTTTTTTCTAACTTAATAATACTTAATTAATACTTATCACTTACTGATAATTAATATTAGTGGATAGCTTATGGTCTTGGCAATGTTGTATGATTTGCGGTCATTATAAAAGAACATGAAGTTCAACCATAGCGCTTACATGTATACGATCAGAAAACATTGATTGGTAATACATATTTTTAACATTGAAAAAAAAAACAAAACTATTCATAACGGAACTGTGTAAATATTTAAGTTCTAATATCTTCATTATTATTATTGTTTTTAGGTATCGAGTGATCAGTCTTGCGCAGAACAAATTTCAAATGCCGTGTAAAATGCTAAGATCTTTAAAATAATTAGTATGATAGATGTGTTTATGACTATTTTAATTTAATATTTTGTGTGTGAACTTTTACTAATTATAGTAGGTAGTTGGTTTATATTATTACATTTTACTCTTGTAAAATTAAGATTTAATATATGGAAAATATGTAATAAAATATTATCTCGTATACAATAATAATAATACATATTATAATATAATAATATAATAACAGTTCGATATAAAATATAATAATGATATTGATAATTATAATTATGAGTCTTTTTAAAAAATTTGAAATTTTTTCTGTCCTATCTTAATTAAGTCTGTATGCCTCAATTTTACAACATGGAAAAAGCTGTACAATAATTATGACCTTTTGTTGGTAATTTTAACATAAAGCCTAACATTCTAAATATTTGCAAAATTGTACAAAAACATATACATAAATTTATTATCATTTACCCACAAAATACGTATTTTAAAAATAAAACAAAATGTTTTTAAAAATTAAATTTTTTAACTGCATATTAAACTCGGGTTATTCCAAATTAACACAACGAAATATATTACCTAATCATACTTCGAATGTGTCTACAATTTTCAATATGTATTCTAATTAAAATTACTAAAAAAAAGGCAGTAGCAAAATAAAACATTTCCATAACGTCGTCAGAACCTAAATAGTTTTTCGACCAGTTATTTGATGTTCCCCAATAACATAATAATGATGAATGACTAATGAAATATGTTGTTGTAATATTAGGTATTATTTTTAAAATATTGATAATTATTTTAATATTTCGACAATGTTCTAACAACGTTTGGGCGGTAAAAATTGCCTAGAACATTAAAATTTCTGGCCTAACGTGTGTTTTGTAAACGTTATTATAAAACTTGGAAATTATAACACCTATTAGGAGGGCGTAACTGCGATGTGTAATTATTAGTTCAATAACTATGACTCTATTTTGGTAGTTAATTTATTTTTTGGACTATCACAGTATCCTTGAAAACGATTTAAAATTGTTTTTTCATCTCTACATGTTTAAGCAGACTGAAAAAACTCACTTCATTTCGGTTTTAGAGTAAAAGCACCCATTATAAAATTGAAAGAGAACAACATTCCGGAGGGCAAGACGGTGCGTTTTTTTTCATTATTTTAAGTATAATGCTTAATACATAGTTTAGAAATAACGACTTTTTTAACATTTTTAAATGACTGTAACTTTTCAAGAAACAATTTTTTTTTTTTAAAAACGCACCGTCTTGCACTCCGAAATATTGTTCTCTTTAAATTTTATAATGGGTGCTTTTACTCTAAAACCAAAATTAAACGAGTTATTTTCAGTCTGCTTAAACATGTTTTTACCACTGAAAATCACCGGAGCGACGCCCTCTTAAGGAAACGTCATATTGATTTGACAGCGTCTACCTCAAACGCATTCACGACTAAACACATTGGTAAGCTTGTAACTTGTGGTAGCCTCAAAATGGTTACCGCCGTTCTCGGGCGGCCGTGTATTTCCTATGGGTGAAACCGGTGGCGGCCATTTTGTAAAAAGTGATAACACAAATGAGTTTACCATTCGCCAAACGAATGCGACGTCGCCCAACGATAACGCTGGAAACGATAGATAATCAAAACGTTACATATTTCAAACGTGTGCGGATAATAATGGCCAATTGTTTCCATAATATAACAAAAACTACTAAATACCTTGTTAAATAATAAATTATGTAAATCAATGTGATTTCGCCGATCGGAAAGTGGGAGTATCAATCTGCCAGAACAATCGAATTTCATTATAATGTATTGTGTTTTGTAAAATTATTATCTTAACATACTGTTACCTATCGTATTTTGGTTGTGCTTTGGTGTTTCATGAGTGCACCAGTGATTATTGTTTTCTTTAATTAATATACAAGCCGATAAAATGCTTCAGGTTTAAATTAATTTTGTTGTTCGAATAGCGATTTTATAACACGGTAAAGTATTTGTTGACGATTGGAAAAACTCGGTAAGTATTGGAAAATCATCTATAAATACTTTGTTGCCCGATTTTTACCAGTTTTTCATTACCAGTATTTTCATAATCTAAATAATTCATTTTTATTACACATTTTACTATTCTCTTTATCTTTTGTTCTTTTAAGCATCTGTTAATTGTCTCGAAAACGCTTTGATCATCATAGCTAACATTTAATTTGTGCCAATCTGATATCGATACATAAATCTATTACAATAAGTCTATTGGGTTAATTTTTAAGATATCATATAAGATTGTATCAATTGTTGTGCTTGATTTGGTAGTCGATATGATAGTATAATTGATGAAGTATACTTTGTAGTATATATAATAAGTATTTTTAAGAATAATATTACGTACTGCATTGTTATTTGGATGAAAAAAAGTGAGTAAAGATTAAACACATCCAGACAGCTTAGGGGCTCTCACATGACTAAATAAATGGATGTGATCTATTCATATTTATTTAGCTTAATTCTTAGAAGACTAATAATATTATTATAGCACGTTGGTAATGATGCTAAAAAAACAAATAAAAGTCTGAGTACATCAATAATTGTATGGAGAACAATCTTGTTTTACGAACAGACGATATATAGATAATAATACAAAGGACAGTTTGACAGAGTGAAGAGGCTAATGTTATTTACATTTTTTTTTTTTGCTATTGAACTGTCAGGTTTAAAATTAAAAATATTATTTATAGTGCCTATATAATAGTATATAATATTATTATTATTTTACAAAACGTATAGTGTATACGATTACAGATTTAAAAATAAACAATGTGTTTATATAATAAACAAAAATAGTCAGCAATAAAAATCGTGGATGCCAACGCCACAGGTGGACCACTAGGTGGGAGCCCAAAAGCTGGGTATTGCACAGGGAATGCTACTATCTCCATTGTATCTTTCTTTTTTGGTACATTGTTAAAGAAGTTTCACTTCAAAAACAAATATTTAACAACATGATAAATTCAACACTTACACATAGAGGTATTATACTTGTCTTATCAAAAAGGGGGCCAGTGGTTATACTTTTAAATCTCTAACCAACTGAAAATTGCTTAAATGCTAGACTGTTGAAAGAAATATTATCCTATGTACAATAATTATGAATACCAAATCTAAACTCTGGTGCTGAGATCACTATTGCTGCTGACTTATCTTAGATTTTAACTTTTTCTAAATAATGTGAAAAGTAATCATACGTTATCTAGTAGTGTTTAGCCCCAAGAGGAGCTATGTCAAGAACAATTTATAGCATAGAATTTAAGTTTCTCTTTAAAGTTTTTTCATTGATACTTAGCCTTAAATAACAGCTGTCATCGCATTTTTCAACATACATTTCTAAACAAAGCAAAAAATAAAATTGTTTTGTATTTTACATGCTTTTCTTTAACTCGCTAATTTAGTCTGAAATAAACATTCTTGAACTTGGTAAATACTGAATGTTTAAGTTACTGGCTAACTTCTTTCTCGATTGGCACTAATTGTATGTCATTAGGTGATGAAGAGTGTAAAGCATATGCTAGGGGTTAATTGTTTTAAAGCAAATAGCACCCTTTACCGAACTGTGAGCTGTTAGTCTGTATAGTGACACTTTTCTTAGGATCAAAAGAAGCTAGCACAGAGGCTTTCATAAGTTTATCCTTAATAATATTCAAAGCCGTAGTCTGATTGTCCGTCCACTGCTACATGGTATCTTTTTTTTAGTAAGCTCATGTTTTTTCTGTTGCGTTAGATGTGATGTCAATGATATGGACATTCGAGGAGGTGGTATTACAATTGCAGTCAAGATCTAATTCTCTTTCATGGGAATTTAATTGATAAGTGGGATTCAGTTAGACAATTGTTTATTAAAAAATATTTTAGGTCAGGGTCGCTAATAATTATTGTTGGTTTTTTTTGTCGCATCTTGATTTAGATGTATATAACTTGTATGTTAATGTACAGATAATTTGATGCATAATAATCAATGTTAAATGTTTAGTCTTAAGCGACTACTATCTTCCAAACGTTAAGTGAAGCACTGAAAATGATAAAATTGTTACTAGTTCATTAAATAATAATTCTCACGTAGCAAATATTTTAGCATTCTTGGTCACTACTTGATCTAGTTTTCTCAAATGTTTTTAATAGGGTTGGCTTTTTGACCACTCAAACTTTTTTACGGATAATTGATAAGATTTTGGTCTGGTCAAAATCTGTTGTTTTGGTCCTAAGTTTCAAGGTTGTGTTACAAATCAATAGTATTATTAAACAGAACAAATGATTAAAATAGAATATAAAGGTATGAGTTATTTATTATTTTATAGAAAGGGAAAACAATTAGGTACTAACATTTTTAAATGAACATAAGTTTCAACATTCAATAGTAACAAATAACAACTGTTGTATTAAGTATACTCGACAGGTGCTGGTTAACAAATGGGATTTATTGACAGTAATGACAATAATAATAATACAATGATAATATTATTTACTTATACAACATCTTTCACCTTGACCATTGTTGTTATTAACATTAAATAAATTGAATTAAAGATTTGAAAACAAAATAATACCTTATAAAATGCAACTAACTATATACCTAACTATTAAGTAACTATAATAATTATGAATAAATAATACAATTATGAAAAACATAATAATTAGGACAACATCACAATAAGCTATATCTTAGCTGGTCTTACACACCTACCACTTTTTGTATGAATTTGGTCCTCACTATTCTCTTTTTGATTAACTTCCTCTCTTACTTCCTGGTGCCTCCCATTCTCTGCATTTTGTGTTTCACAAGTTCCCTCCATAACAGTTAAATGAATCATCCCAATATACGGCATATTACAGCTTTTTTGTACAAATTCATTCCTACTAGGTCTTAAATAATATACATGACTGCTTGTCCTTTTATTAGTTCCATTTCTTTCCTGTTTGCCCGTTTATCATACCAATCTTTGTAACCCTCTTGTGCTTTTATTTGTCTGTCTCTAATATTCTGATCTTTGGGTCTCAAATTAATATCTGCCGTAGGCATTTTAGTCCGTAACAGCGTACTCATCAGTAACTCACTAGGTGCCACTCCTAGATTCCCCACCGGTGTGCACCTGTACTTCAGAAGAGCTATTTCTGTTTCGTTTTTGATCTCTTAAGCATTTTCTTAAAACTTGTTTTGCAATATAAACAGCCTTTTCAGCCAACCCGTTACTTTGAGCATATTTTTAATCTTTGCAAAGTAATGCAAACGAATTGATTGACAAATTATAAAAACTCTAACGCTACCCTTTTTTTCAATTTGTTCACATATTATGGAATTAAAAAAAACTAAATCCATAAATCTTTTATTAATAAGGGATGAAGGTAGACTGTTTTAAGTATTGAAAAAAATCTGTCTAAAAGAAAAGGAAAGAAATTGTTTTCAAAATATTCATTGTTTCCTAGAAAACGATTGTCTTACATCAAATGGATCACGCTGTTTTATATAAGTAGTTAATATTTTAATTTTATAAGCGTTGATAATAGTAGTTAGCACATATTACTTAATAAATTATATTATTAAACTTTTAATTTTACTCTTTATTTAATACATAAATAAAATTATGCATTTGTTAGGAATAATTTTATGTGTTTAATTATAATCATTATTATTATAATATAATATTAATCAATTTGTTTAATTAATATAAGATAATATTTAATACAAGCTGTCCCGACCCGGCGTTGCCCGAGATTTAGTTTGCCAGGGCTGAGTTAAATAATTACAAATTATATTCATGCGAAAAAATTATTAAAATAAAGTTAATTTATAATATTAATTAAATTTATTCTTTTTTTATAACCCCCCCTGAAATTATATATTATATTAAAAATAGCCAAGTTACCTGACAATCATAATAAATAATTAATTCCTTACATTTTGAAAATAAAAATATTTATACATAAATTAAAAATACGTACTCTCTATCTTTTATTCTAGTTTTACAAGCACAATATTCTATTTATGTGTACTAAAAATAATGTAAATTTTACATTGTCAATTAATTGACAATATTCAATAGAATAAACTGTTAATATCATTAAAACATTATTTTATAAATTGTAATGGCAGTCGTTTATAATCAAAGTAAAACAGTTAATTATAAAATACATTGAATTTTATAGTTTGGATACAAATGTGGTTTGGAATAATTATTAAAATATAATAACAATAGTACTGTATAACTTTTAATGAGTTAATGTCTAAGATAAATGGTCTAAATTATAATAACTAAGAAGCAAGTGAATACGTTTTACTGATATGTTTCTAATTGATCATCCCCAATGCAATTGACTGTGTGTACATTTGTCTATACCAGTTAGAGTCTAACCTGTATGTCAATTGAAAGGTGTATACAGAAGTATATCACAACCCAAATGTTTTTCTAACACTAACTGAAATTGTTGGTTAAGAGTGTCTTCTAACTGTTAGCACCTTTCAACCAACACATCATGTTAGAATATCCGAAATCTTTGTGGCCTGGTCCTTAAAAAATAAAAAAGGTACATTTAAAAATTTGCCTATTTTTAACTTATTAGTTACTACATTTATTCAGTGTGTAAGACATAATTAACACACGTGATTAATGCTATATACAGGTGATCTATATTGTACAGCTATGTTACTCTAAGGCAATAACATTTATAAATGGAGATAAAGTAGACTGGACACCTTGTATACCATAATCTATGTCATAGAAAATTGTGTTAAATAAAACTTTAAAAAGTTATATATAAACATAAACGTTTTATTGTCTGTGTTAATTAAACAATAAAACAAAAGTACTTTGAAGCAAGTGAAAATGTTGCAGAGGAATAAAGATTTTATTTTTACTGCTATTCTTATTTAAGTGTTAATAATATATATACATACATTACATATAAAATATTTTCTTAACTATTCGTTGTTATCGTTTTTATAGTATCATCGATCTTCAAACATTTTTTTTA